TTTTATTTTATTTATTTTATTTTATTATTTTTTATTGTTTTATTTTTATATTTATATTTATTTTTATTATTATTTTTATTATTATTATTATTATTATTATACCAGCAGCAACCTGCATCCCTAATTGTAAGAGACGCCCCCGTAGTAAGTTACCAGCCATTGTCTCCATTCACCTTGAGCCAGGAAATAGTAGCAATCGCACAGAGAAGTGTCTGTTCTTCATGGCTTGGGCCCAAAGACGAAAAACACTCGTTTGGGGAGCTCAGATGCAAACCCACCGTGCTCTGTTATGTATGTATGCCATCGGCCAAGAAAAAGCTATAAAGCACACATTTTGTATAAGAAGAAGGGAGATTTATGGGGCTTTTGCAAATCTGAGTCATATCTTACCAAATCCCCTGGGCCGAGATATTCTAATCATTAACATACCCCATGCATGGACACACAGTGGCCACAGAATTGCTTCCTTCTGGCTCCAGCTCCTGCTAAAGACACGTTAAGGATTGCGCTACCCCTGCCTGACAGTTGGGTAAATGGATGGCCAATTCGTTCTGAGCTCGGAGGGGGGTTTCTTTAGCCATTTTTATTTATTTTGGGGGGTTTAAAAGAAAGAAAGAAAGAAATGGGGGCTTTTTATACGCTTCTTTGATCAGCCAGAAATCTTGACAAATTATTTTCCATGGAATTTCTTGAGCCTTAATACTGTGAGGAAGAAAAATGGATTTATTCTCAAGCAGGCGCTTTTATAGGGTGGAAATTGTGGCCTTGAAAAGATCCTTCCCCTCCTCATCCTGCGTAGGCCCTTCACTTTTAAGAAACAGAATAGCCTGTGGAAAGACCTTGCTGTTGTATCGCTGAAAATGAAGGGGACGGGGATATGATCGCTGTTGTTGTTGCTATTACTATTATTACTATTCTTTAGCCCTTCGCCCTAAGGTCCCAGGGTGGGTTCCAACAATGAAAATACACTATTAAAAACTATTTAAATCAACTCAGAATCACATTATTATTATTATTATTATTATTATTATTATTTGTACCCCTCCCATCTGGCTGGGTTTCCCCAGCCACTCTGGGCGGCTTTCACAGAGACCAAAAATACACTAAAATGTCACACATTAAAAACTTCCCTGAACAGGGCTGCCTTAAGATGTCTTCTTAATGTCAGGTAGTTGTTTATCGCTTTGACATCTGATGGGAGGGCGTTCCACAGGGCGGGCGCCACTACCGAGAAGGCCCTCTGCCTGGTTGCCTGTAGCTTTGCTTCTTGCCATGAGGGAACCGCCAGAAGGCCCTCAGCGCTGGACCTCAGCGTCCGGGCAGAACGATGGGGGTGGAGATGCTCCTTCAGGTATACATAAGGTGGGCCCTAAAATATACACCTTAAGTGTATATTCAGCATTTCCTGGAAGTTGTACCATTAAAATGCCAGATGCATGTTTGTAGGGAGGAGTTACAGAAACTTAAAACTGCATTTGGAAGCATCCCGCAAGAGCCATCTAGTTCAACCCCTTGCAATGCAGGAATCACAACTAAACAATTCCGGACATATGGCTATCCAACTTCTGTTCAAAAACCTCCAATGAAGGAGAGTCCAGGTAGTCCCTTCCACTATCTCAAACAGCTCTTATCGTCAGAAAGTTCTTCTCAATCTTTCACCGGAACTGCCTTCCTTGTCATTTGAATCCATTGGTCCGGGTCCTCTTCCCTGGAGCAGCAGAAAACAAGCTTGCTCCATCTTCCATACAACAGCTCTTTAGATATGTGAAGATGGGTATCATGTCACTTCTCCACCTTCACTTCTCCATGCTAAATACAGTGGTACCTCGGGTTACAGATGCTTCAGGTTACAGATGCTTCCAGTTACAGACTCCACTAACCCAGAAATAGTACCTCGGGTTAAGAACTTTGCTTCAGGATGAGAACAGAAATCGAGCAGCAGCAGTGCGGCGGCAGCGGGAGGCTCCATTAGCTAAAGTGGTGCTTCAGGTTAAGAACAGCTTCAGGTAAAGAACGGACCTCCAGAACAAATTAAGTTCTTAACCTGAGGTACCACTGTATACCCAAACTCCAGAGTTCCACAGCTTAAGGGCAGCCACAAAGAATGACCTCTCATGGGCCACCTCCCCAGGCTTCTGAGGGGGTGTGGAACAGCCAAGAGGGTCCACCTCAGCTGATCTTAATGCCCAAGAGGGTATTTAAGGATTTAAACACTAACATGTGCACCTTGAACTGGGTTGAATAATACACTTGGTTTTCAAATATACAGTATGTACTTCTACCTCCTGAAAAGCGAAGTGCTGCAAGTCCACTGCTGTGACCCACATATATATCCCCACCTCCAAAACTGTGAGGTAAGACCCTTTTTCAAGTTGTGCATCTGCTTTAGTCCAGTGAGCTGAGGGAGTGTGTTGTGTGTAAGTGTGTGATGTTGAGAGAGAACAGCTGGTGGTAAACTATCAGAAAACGAAAGTCATGGTTTTCTCAAGGAAACATAGATCACATAGCTGGAGCATGGACAATCACCCAATTGAGCAGGTTAAAGCCTTTAAATACCTGGGCATAGTCTTCCAGTCATCGGGGTCATGGGATGTACACCAAAAATGTGTTAAAGAAAAAGCAGCCCAAAGTGCTAAGATGCTGTCCCATTTTTTCCATCCAAAGGGCAGCAAATACATCCCAGCAGCCCTAGAAGTTTTTCAAGCCAAATCTTTGGCACAGATACTTTACGGGGCCCAACTTTGGACGGGTAATCATTGTAGCATTCTTGAAACTGTCCAATCCAAATTTTTAAGGCAGATTTTTTTCTGTATCACCCTGTATCTCAAATGCAGCATTATGACTGGAGGCAAGTCTTCCCTCTGTAGAAGCTCGGTCCTTGTGTGATGTTGCCACACGCACACCCAGTGCATAGCTAGACGAGGGAATCTGCTCCCACCAAGAGTTAGTGGTGGCCACCAACCTGGATGACATGGAATGAGACAAATTCATGGAGATAAGGACTGTTGGTGTCTACCAGCCACAATGGTTGTGTCTACTTTTGGAGACAGTATGCCTCTGAATACCTGAGAATCACAAATGAGAAGAGAGTGCTCTTGTGTTCAGATTCTAGTTGTGGGCTTCCCGTGGGTATCTGCTTCACCACTGTGAGAACAGGAGGCTGGACTAGATGGGCCTTTGAGCTGATCCAGCAGGGCTGGTCTTATGCGCTGAGGTTAACAAGCATGTTTCTGTTTCAGTTGAAATAAGTGAAAGATTCTCTCATCCCCTCTGACATTGACACTAACCAACATAGATGTAATTCTTAAAGAAATCAGATGCGGGAAGGCTTCTAAGGTCAAAGGGGAGGCAGGGTCATTCCCCTCCTGGAAACACAGTCAAACAGCTATCCACCACCTAGTGTTTGATAGGGCATCCAATTCTGCATCACGGTTCTCTAGCAATCTGGAGTCTCCTGCTTCCTCTCCCAGGCAGATGATGCTAATGTTTGAATCTAAAGACCAGCAGTTCCTACTTTCTGCAACAACTCCATTCCTCTCCACAATCCCTTAATGTGTGTTCTTAGTGTTACAGGTAGTGGTGGCATCCAGGTAGACTTTGGAGTGGCCCTTATCTGGAAACCAAGCCTTATGAGGAACGGTTGAGGGAGTTGGGTATGTTTAGCCTGGCTAGGAGGAGAATGAGAGGAGACACAACAGCCGTCTCCAAATATCTAAAGGGCTGTCGCAGGGGAAATGGAGAAGGCTTGTTTTCTCCTGCTCTAGAGGAGCAAGCTACAAGAAAGATTTCAACTAAACATCAGGAAGAACCTTCTGGCAAGAAGAGCTGTTTCACAGTGGAATGGACTCCCTCCGGAGGTTGTGAATTTTCATTCATTGGAGGTTTTAAAGCAGAGGTTGGATGGCCATCTGTCATGGATGCTTTAGTTGAAATTCCTGCATTTGCAGGAGATTGAATTAGATGAGCCTCAGGGTCCATTCCAACCCTGCAGTTCTATTATTCTATGTAGCAGGGTTGGCTTGTCGCATAGTTTTTGCTTTTAGTAAGGTAAAGGTAAAGGACCCCGGACAGTTAAGTCCAGTTGTGAATGACTCTGGGGTTGTAGCGCTCATCTTGTTTTACAGGCCAAGGGAGCCGACATTTGTCCACAGACAGTTTTTCCGGGTCATGTGGCCAGCATGACTAGCCGCTTCTGGCGCAACAGAACACCAAAACCAGAGCAGTCCATGGAAATGGTGTTTACCTTCCTGCTGGAGCAGTACCTATTTATCCACTTGCACTTTGGGGCATGCTTTCAAACTGCTAGGTTGACAGGAGCAGGACTGAGCAACAGGAGCTCACCCTGTCAAGGGGATTCGAACCGCCGACCTTCTGATCGGCAAGCCCAAGAGGCTCAGTTGTTTAGACCACAGCACCACCTGCATCCCTAATTGACTAGTAAAGGTAAAGGGACCCCTGACTTGCACTTTGGTGTGCTTTTGAACTGCTAGGTTGGCAGGAGCAGGGACTGAGCAACAGGAGCTCATCCCGTCGCGGGAATTCAAACCGCCAACCTTCTGATCGACAAGCCCTAGGCTCTGTGGTTTAGACCACAACGCCACCCGCGTCCCAGGTAGAACAACCCAAAACCCCTTTGTGCAGGGCTAGGAGGGCCTTATACCAGCTGCTATCTGTGGAATGATGCCAGCATGCAAGACGTCATGCTCGTGTGGAATGGCCAACAGTAGCCTTCAGTCTCTGGAGCGGTATCCCATTTGCGCTAATGGATCAGCCTCAGCTGCTCACCTCTTGAATGGGAATGAAACTACTCCAGCCCTGAAACCACTGTAGTTATTTTCTATCCCATTAGCTCCAACATTTCTTTTTAAAAAGGAACCAGTGAGAAATGAGGGTGAAGGTAAAAGGTTGCCATACAACTTTCTTCCCATCAGGGTTTTCGAAGGACCCATTCCTCTACCAGAGACACAGGTATCCATCACAGACACAGGGGAAAACAGGTATTCAGATACCTTGTACTTCAGAGCACCTGGTATTTATTAGACATAAATTGTCACACAAAAATATGGAAAGATTAGATAGGTAAAGGTTCTTCCCACCCCTTTAGAAACAGACACACAAACGTATTTGTGACCTCAGTCTCCCATGCATGTGGACAGTCATTCATTTTCTTTCCTGTGCATACATATTTATTCCATTTTCATAATTAGGGTCATTTGTAATTTTTTTTAAAGTACAGTTTGGAAAGGAAGAGAGGAAAAGGAATTCAAGCTTGCCAATAAAGTATCAACAAAATAAAATTTAAAAGTTTCTGACCAGCTGTGTGGCTGATTTTATTACCTGTTATGCCTTAGCAGAATACCTATTTATCAATAAATAGTACTAATAAAATAATTACATCCAAAGAACCCTGCAATTAGATTTTGTTTTACCTACACACAACTGCCCAACCTTTCTCAGCACTTTCTAAACACAGATTTTGTTTAACGTCCCATGTTAACATAAGCAGATATGTCAAAAAAAGGGGGGGAAAGAAAAATTATACAGGAAGACAAATAGAGTGATCATTTTTTACAAATTTGGTTTTTCGGTTGTTACTAAACGCACATAATTTTTTCCCCCCATCAAACTTAGTTTCAGGTATTTTTCTGGGTGGATTCAAAATACTGGATTTCATTAAAATGGTCCTAGGGAGGGCCAACATTACTTTAGAGGGACAACTTTAAAAAGAAGTTGTAAAAGTCATTAATAGGTTAAAAAAATGGACACGTACAGAAGGAAAGAAACTAAACAGCGCACAACTGTGCATTATGGTTTTCCTCACTGCTGACAAATCCCTCAGTGGCAATGCTTCTTTCTATTGCCCTCACTAGTTTTTACTCTCTGTTGCCCTCATTTGCCCTCAATGACATTCTGAAGTGTTCAGGTCACGTGAATTTACTTATCGGTGTTCAAGAATATAAGATGTGGTATCCAGTATGACTGGATGGGATCAACCTCATTTTTGCCTAATTTAAAAAGGAGGCGAAACCAGGAAGTAGGAGAAATTATGACACTGGACAATTCAAGGGAAAGGCAGGGCAAGACCAGACATGATCTGGTCCAAGAAGTGTATGTGGCAAGATGCTGAGGGACTGTTGAAAATGTCAGGATTAAGTGAATTCTATGCACAGCAAAGGACCCAAGAAAATAATGCTGTGAAGGGTTTTGATGGCAAAAAAAAAACAACCCTTACAAATTTCATATATTCAATGCCCCCCAAATCCAAACTGCCAGATCTTTGACACCATCGTTAGTACAGACTAATTTATATTGTCCCCCTGTAGTAACTGCATCCAAATCAAGCCATATTTAACCTGGAGGAACTTGCTTTGCTGATAAGGCTCCTGTCATTAAACTGCGTGTAATTTTCATTGTATTCAGAGCAAACCCATTGCAGCTAAGGGTCATAACTAACAGGTACATTAATCTCAATGAGTTTTATTTGAGTAGAATTTGGTTGGATACAACCCCATTGCTCCACCATAGACTTACATTTCGGCAGAGTTGGTGACTGAAGGACAACCCCACGTGATGTGTCATTCCAGACAGTGATTTGGTTCCATAGGAAACATTTTTTTAATGGACCTCTACATAACCACTTGCTCATGGGCATTAAGGAAATGGATAAGAAACAGGTGTCATATTTGCACAGCAGCCATGAACTTCTTATACCTCTTCCCAGAATACTTTGGGGGTTGTAGCAGAGGACCAGGATGGACAAGAAGTCAAGGACCCGCCAAGTCCCATCATCCCAAGTTGGAGTCCAAGTCCCACCATCGCTGATCACTTATCATCCTAGTTGGGGCTGATGGACTTGGACTCCAACAACATCTGGGGGGATTCCTAACCTGATTGTCATTCGAGAACATATGGACCTCAGTTGTGCTAATTCCAAAAATAAAAATAGTTTGAGTTTCTTTCATGGTAAGCTGGTGCCCATAATCTAATGGAGGCTAGAGAACCTACCTGTAACTTCATCAAAACACCTAAAAATTCAATTGATGTGGTGGCCATATTTTTGTTGTTGTCCTGGGACAAAGAAGTGATGCTGACAAAAGTGCACTTGAGCTGGATTTTCTGCTCCGCAGCATCTCAGTCTCAATCTTAATTAAATGATGGGGAACGTGCCACCCTCTGGATGTTGCTGGACTGCAACTGGCAATGCTGGCTGGGCCTGGAGGGATCTGGAGTCTGACAACATCTGGAGGGCCACAGCTTGACTACTCCTGCCCTAAATAGAAGGACCTCTGTCACCAGGGATGAGCAAGCTCAAAGTGCAAAGGCAATTAGTAAATCTGCTGGGGGAGGTGGAAGATGGAGAGGTCCTTTTTCAAGACAAGACATAGATTAGAGGCATGAGAACATCATGATTTGCTGGATGATGTGCTTGCTATGCAAAAACACAGCACCATCAATCTCTCCCAATAGTGGCAGGGTTGGGGGACGTGCGGTTGGACTCCAACTCCTATCAGCCTCAGCCACCATGATCAATGAACAGAGGTAATAGAAGCTGGAGTCTAGCAACATCTTGAGGGCCACAGGTTCCTCACCACGTGCTAGAAAATGGTGTGAATGCTGATCTTCTTTGAATTCTACCAAAAAGGGCAGCCAATATACTATTCTTCTCCCTCACTGTATATAAGACCCAGCAGTACTTCCCCATGTCCTGTTTTCATGCTTTCTCACCGCCTCTATTCATGACTGCTAATGGTGTGATGTAGAGAAAACATTATTATGTTGAATCATGGATACGTTTTAGCAGACATTGCAGTAGAGATGGGAAAACCTCAGTTGTTGTTAGACTCCATCACCCCCAGCCATCGTGGCCAATGTTCAGGGATGATGAGAGCTGGTCCGGCAACATCTGGAGGGCAATGGCCCACCATTCTTACTTTAGCAGGAGCAGAGCACCAGATGTGTGGCTGCCATTAGCATAACTTCTAATTTGGCTTGAAGAATCTGATGAAGTAGACTGTTTAGTCCAGGGATGGGGAAATGGTGGCTTTCCAGATGTTGTCAGACTGCACCTCCCATCAGCCCCACACAGGATGGCCAATGCTCAGGGATGAGGGAACTATAGTCCAATGACATCAGGAAGGAAACATGTTTCCTGTCTGTCTTACTGCACAAAAACTTATGCTACAACAAACCTGTTTGTGATTTAAAACAGAATATCTGTGCCATACAAAATCAACTCTCTTATAACTAGGGGCGGGTGAACCTGTCAATATTGGTTTCTCTGCATTTCTCAGTTTTCTAACTTTAAGTTCAGTTCTCCACATTTCCAGATCTGTTTAGTGTGATTTTCTAATATACACATTTTTGTATGTGATTTTGTCTAATATACTCTTCTTCTTCCTCTTTGCAAAACTGTTTTCTGTAATGCCATGCATTGTTGTGCAATGTTTTCCTAAATATGTGCATTTTTATGCACACAGGACCCTACCATATGCATTTCTGTGCACATGAATTGGCTGGAGAACTGCACTGCAAAATTAGTAAACATGAAGATTTTGAAGGATTAGGGCATTTCACTTCATATGCTATTTTCAAAAGTGTGAATGGAATGAAATTTCTCCCCCATCCCTAGTTATAACAGAGGTAGACAAAGAGAAGGCAAAACGATCAAGTTGAGTGCGGATGCTCATTTGCTGTGAGCTATCTTGGTCCATTTTTAGATGGCGGCACATTACAAAATGGACCAGGCATGAAAATGGAGCAAAATCAGGCCAGAAACTTTTCAAAGTTGAAGTGCCTGTCAGAGGTAGGTACCAAAGTGTTTTACCTGTGAATTACTTCCACCCCTTTAAAAAGAAACCTTCAACCTCGAATCCCCTCCCCACCCTTTTTAAGTCTCTGTGAAAAGGGACAGGTTCTTTTCGCGAGACTCCAAGGAATATATAGATAGATGTAGATAGATAGATATATATTATCATTTATTATATAACAATGTCAATATCAACACCAAAAAAAAAGAAAGAGAGAAAGGGAGAGAGAGAGAGAGAGAGAGAGAGAGAGAGAGGAGAGAAAAGAAAACACGACATATTCTGATCGTCTTGTATGAGCACTCTCCGCGTGTCAAGAAAGGTAGCAAAACTCCCGTGTTTCACCTGAAAACAAAACCAAACTATAATGTTGTGCAAGGGCACAAGTTGGTGTGGAAGCAATGCAAACTCAGTGTGGCTATGTCTGGGCATGGGGGGGCTGTATGGCGTGGGGCAGGGCGGAACAGCATGGATCAGTTTGTCATTGGTCGCAAGAAAGGAAAGCCAGGAGATACAATACCATGGTCTGCCCAGAGGATAGGACGCTGTCCATCTCTCGAGTGCTTAGATATTAACATTCAGTTAAAACGAGTCTTGAAAACAAACAAACAAACACCACTCTTAGTTTGCAGTGAAATCTCTCCAGCAATCCTCTCCCTTGATTGCCTTGTTAGCTGTTCTCGCTCCATTCTGGCACCATGCCCACCCCATGCACGGAATGGTACTGGTGGGGGGAGAGGGTTCGGGGTACCCCATGAGAATAAAGGAACTCTGCTGGCTGTAGACTGCTGGGAGGCGACTGTATGCTTGTCTGAGGTCCACATTGCCGGACAATTGGCTGGTGAGGGACGGAGGTCTGGTGCTGGAACATGGCATGCGTCTCCCCGATCTGCGATGAGGTATGGTTGGCGACTGTGGCAAGCCGGGGCATGAGAGGGCCAGAAGTGAAATGGGCAGAGAAGTGCTGGTAAGGCAGCCTGTCCATAGGCTGCATGGCAGTCACTGTGCAGCTGCTGTAGGATGGCACAGCAGACCACGTGTTGCAGCTGATGTCTTCTAGGCTGGGCACCGGTTCCGTAGAGGGCGCAGAGCTGGCGTACATGCAGGCTTGGCGCTGAGCAGACTCAGTCCTGTATGCACTGGTATTGAGTCCCTGCTGCTGGGAGTAGGTGGAGCGATAGAAAGGGTCTTCTTCTGGAGGAGACGTCTCCATGTAGGGCTTTTTGTAAGGATGTTCTGTGGTGGAACATTCTTCATCTGATGAAGAGACACACACACAAAAATACACAATGAATGAGGAACACGGTGAGACATCTATGATGTCCTGCTGGATCAGACCAAAGGCCCATATCAGGAACTGAATCTATGCTGGATCCTTATCTCTTCCCCACCCCGACCAATGTTCAAAAATAACCAGGCACCAGGTGCATTTTGCACCTGGCTTTCGGCCACTTGCAACCAAGTGAAGATACCTGGGCATCAGGTATCTCAACCATCTGAAGGCGCATGCCTGGGCATCACTGGATCTGGGCTGTTTTCACACACTAATACCCCGCCCTGTAGAATTCCATCAGTTCTATTTTTTCTGCACAATCGAAATGAATTTCTGGAAGCAAAACGCTTTTTCTGTGGAGCCTGAGCAGAAGCAGTCACCATTTAGAAAAAGAGGTCGGAATAGGCTAATAAGTATGTGGACTGTCCCTGGGTCAAGTGACTTTTCTTCTTTAAGTTCTGAAAATTCTTAACCTAGCTCAAGGTTGTCATCTGAACTAGCCAGATGTTTAAATGAGAATCAAACACAATCAGTCCATCCTTTGGAAAATAAGGCTTCAGAGCTGTTTTGACCCCAAAATGGCAACTAGATATTCCGTTTGGGCGACTGTAACCTTGATTTTAGGAGCCATTTGGTCCTGTATACCTGAAGGAGCGTCTCCACCCCCGTCGTTCAGCCCGGACACTGAGATCCAGCGCCGAGGGCCTTCTGGCGGTTCCCTCATTACAAGAAGTGAGGTTACAGGGAACCTGACAGAGGGCTTTCTCGGTAGTGGCGCCCACCCTGTGGAACACCCTCCCATCAGATTTCAAGGAAATAAACAACTATTTGACTTTTAGAAGACATCTGAAGGCAGCCCTGTTAAGGGAAGTTTTTAATATTTAATTCTGTATTGTTTTTAACACTCAATTGGGAACCGCCCAGAGTGGCTGGGGAAACTAAGCCAGATGGGCGGGGTATAAATAATAAATTTTATTATTATTATTATTATTATTATTATTATTATTATTATTATTAGAGTTTCTAACACTGCCCCCAACATACACACAGGCCAAGTTGGCAGGTGGGTGGAGCCACCCACCTGTCAGTCACCTGATCTCACAATGACAAGTGCAGAAATCCCTGCAGTTATACTCAAGTCCTGCTTCTGGACTTTCCATTTTGGTGTCTGGTTAGCCAATCTAAGAGCAGGATGTTGGGCTTTGTGGTCCTTTACCCTAATCCAGCAGCCAAGCTCTTCTTACATTCAGTGATGGGGAATTGAGGATGATCAAGGAATTCTTTCAGTCCCTATTTTGTAGGGAATGAAGCCAGAGCTGGACCTTCTGGTGGGGTGGGGGAGATGGCTGCCCACATGGGGAGCACACATGGAAACTGCTCATGAAGGAGAAACAACCAGCACCACACAGGATTGAAATCCTTCTGCCTACCAGCTGGGAATCACAAATGAGAAGAGCCTGCTGTTGTGCTCAGATTCTCCTTTCTGCCTTCCCGTCGGGAGGTCTGCTTGCCCACTCTGAGAACAGCATGCTGGGCTATATGGGACCCCTTTGGCCTGATCCTGCAAAACGCCTCTTAGGTGCAGAAGATGTGAGCTGAGCAGAAATGTAAATGCTCCGCAGGAATAGCAACATATTGTCTGACGCACGGTATGTGTGTGAGAGAGTGTACGATCCAGTTTTTTAATGCCCTCCATTAAATTGCACCCCTGCTGAGACCTCGACGCAAAATAAGTGTCTGACTGCTGGAAGGGGCAGTGGAAACAACAGCAGCAAGATTAGAGAGAGGAGCGTATCTCCTTTCCCCCAGCTCTTTGGATGGAAGTCAGGCAGGCTCCCGCATCGGAGACGCCCCAGTCTAGCTTGCGGTCTATAATGGTGATGATAATAGATGCTGTCATAATACACAAATAACAACACAGTATAGGGCAGGCATTGTCTGCAGAGCAAAAGGGAAGCCTGTGAAGGAACTGTGTGCATGTGGGAGGGGATGCACATTGGGAACTGTGCAGAACAGACAAAGGAGAAGAAGGAACTGGAGGAGGAGGATGGATTTCTCTTTTGTTGGGCAAGAGGATAAAGCTGTAGCTCAGCAGCAGAGAATCTGCTTTGCACGCGGAAGGTCCCCAGCACCTGCAGGTTCAAGCCTGAAGAGCTGCTGCCAGTCAGTGCAGATAATACTGAGCTCAATGGACCGAAGGGTTTAACTCAGTATAAGGCAGCATCCCATGTTAATATATAACATAAGACAAGCCTCTTGGAACAGGCCAATGGCACATCTATTCCAGCATCCTGTCCTCAACAGTGACCAACCAGGTACCTCAATGGGAAGCCTGCAAGCTGGACCTGAGCACAAGAGCCCTCTCCCCTCCTGTTGTTACCAGCAACTGGTATCCAGAAACAGGACTGCGTCAGAGAGTGAAGTCAGAGCACAGCTATCATGGCTAGTTGCTCTCAAAAGCCATCCACTATGGTGGCTATCAGGGATGCGGGTGGCACTGTGGGTTAAACCACAGAGTCTAGGACTTGCTGATCAGAAGGTCAGTGGTTCGAATCCCCGCGACGGGGTGAGCTCCCATTGCTCAGTCCCAGCTCCTGCCAACCAAGCAGTTCGAAAGCACGTCAAAGTGCAAGTAGATAAATAGGTTCCACTCTGGCGGGAAGGTAAATGGCGTTTCCATGCGCTGCTCTGGTTTGCCAGAAGCGATTTAGTCATGCTGGCCACATGCCCCGGAAGCTGTTTGCCGGCTCCCTCAGCCAATAAAGCAAGATGAGCGCCGCAACCCCAGAGTTGGCCACGACAGGACCTAATGGTTAGGGGTCCCTTTACCTTTACCTTTATGGTGGCTATCACTGCTTCCTTTGGCAGTGAGTTCCATAGTTTAACTATTCACTGCATGGAAACCATGTTACGGTCACAAGACGGCACTAACTGGATCCATGTTGAATTGGGGCTACCTTGCTGCAGATTTTTTTTCTTTTCTGGATACTGGCTACAGTGGTACCTCGGGTTACAGATGCTTCAGGTTACAGACTCCACTAACCCAGAAATACTACCTCGGGTTATGAACTTTGCTTCGGGATGAGAACCGAAATCGTGTGGTAGTGGCGTGGCGGCAGCAGGAGGGCCATTAGCTAAAGTGATACCTCAGGTTAAGAACAGTTTCAGGTTAAGAATGGACCTCCAGAACGAATTAAGTTCTTAACACGAGGTACCACTGTACATACATCCCTGTGTGAACATATATGATCATAGCTGATCCCTCTCATTACAGTGTTACCTTGGTTTACAACCATAATCCATTCCAGTTGTAAACCAAAACAGGTTGTAACCCAAGGTATGCTTTCGCCAATGGAGCCTCCCCCCCCCCAATTGGTTGTAATAAAAAAAAGGGTTGTAATCCCAAAAAAACGGACACACACTTCCGGGTTTGACATGGTTGTAATCCAAAACGGTTGTAATCCAAAGCAGTTCCAAACCAAGGTACCACTATACAGTGGTACCTTGGGTTACATAAGCTTCAGGTTACATACACTTCAGGTTACACACTCCACTAAGCCAGAAATAGTGCTTCAGGTTAAGAACTTTGCTTCAGGGTAAGAACAGAAATCGGGCTCTGGCGGCGCAGCGGCAGCAGGAGGCCCCATTAGCTAAAGTGGTGCTTCAGGTTAAGAACAGTTTCAGGTTAAGAACGAATTAAGTACTTAACCCGAGGTACCACTGTACTGCTTTCTTTGACTTATAGCACGCCTTTCCCAATGTGGCTACCTGAGATCCTTTAACTTTAAAAAAAGGAACTGAGCCTCCAGACCTTGCTATGCAAAGGCGCAAGCCCTTTTTACATAGGGATGGTTATGATATGCTGCAGTGTTGTCCAGTGGTTAGGGCAACTGCTCTGTACACATAAGGTCTTCCAATCTCCAGGTAGGGATGGGAGAGACCACCTGCTTAAAATCCTGGAGGGCTGCTGCTAGTCTGTGTAGAACCTCAGCGGCAGAGCAAGCTGATCAGGCGCCTGGGGCGGCATGCGTGCCCTGTGCCCGGGGGCAGGGGCGGGGCCAGCCACCCAAGGGGACACCTGGGGGCCTCTGAGGAGTCTGCCTGCCTCCTCCCACTCAGCCGCCCTACAGCTGAGGGGGAGGCAATGGGCAGACTGTTTGGGGCAGCACGGAGCCTCTGGGTGCTCAAGCCACTGCGTCACTCCTAGGAGAGACGCGTGGCTTGGGCGTGCTGCAGACCCTGCGGTGAGTGCAGCCCACCATTTTGTCACCCACCTCAGTGGGGACACCTGGGTCAGGCCGCACCTATTGCACCTCTCTTGCTACGCCCCTGAATGTAGCCCCTCCAGGTCTTTGCCTGGCCCTTGGGGGGTCTCCACAGGCCACACACCCCTCACCACCTTTCCTTCATTCACTCCCTGAGCGCTTTCCCCCTGGCTGGAATACGTCCTTGAACTCTGATAATGCATCTTCCTTCCCTAGATAGAGTGTTTATCCCTGACTGGTGGGTGGGTGTAGAAACCTACAGCATGAAGTTAAATTTGGCCTGCATTGCTCCACTCACTTTTGCCTCTGGCCCCACCCACCCTGCACATGTGGCCCCCAGAAGGTTGCCCAGAAGGGGATGCGGCCCTTGGGCCAAAAAAGGTTCCCTGCCCTTCGTACAGACAATACTGAGGTGCACAGACCAGTGGCCTGATTCAGTAAAATTTCCTTGGTGTGGGTATGAAAGAACATGTTCTATTTCAAGCAATGTATTTTGCACCCTGTATTTAATTTTTGTGATTGTAAGTTTAAATTGTTTTCAGCACTGGGTTTTAAATGTGGCAACTCACCCTGGGGCTTTACAATTGAGGGCAGGTAGTAAATAGCAGCAACAGCAACAACAACAATAAGAATAATAAATAAATATAAATATCCTCATCAGCTTCCTATGTGCCTATGTCCCGCTTGCCAATGTAGTGGATTGCTTTTGATCTAGCAAA